ACCGTACCCGTAGCCTCGAGACATTTAGATACGGCTACCGTACCCGTAGCCACTGCCTAAAGGCAATTGGTTTTGCACACCACAGATGTGCTTTGATCGTATATTAAACGCAATAATGAAACAGTAAATGCGGTGATAATCTAATACGTGTTTACCACCTGACTACGTTTTTTTCTCGAAGGGAAAATAATGAGATCATTAGATGCAGAAAGAGCGTAAGGAAGAGAGAGAGAGACGAGAGGGGAGAGGGGATAGGCAAAGGCAGAGAGAGGGAGAGAGAGAGAGAGAGCGTGCAAGAGAGAGAGAGAGCGTGCAAGAGAGAGAGAGAGAGAGAGAGAGAGAGAGAGAGAGAGAGAAAAACGAACTGACTCATTGGTATGCGTGCGTGTGCGTGTGCATGTGTGTGTGTGCGTGCGTGCGTGTGTGTGTGCGTGTGTGTGCGTGCGTGTGCGCGTGCGTGCATGTGGACAGCCTCGTCTGCTACACTTCCCTCGCAGCATCTGTGAGATGTTTGCTGCTCGTGTGTGTCTACGTCCTTGTTTCTTGCAGCACACGCCTCTGGGCGTGAAGAATGCGCGGATATCTCAACATTACAAGTCCAGCCTGTCAGCCACCTTCACTCTCTTCCCAGTAAGTAACGCCACCTACCGTTAACTGTAGCGACGTAGACAGACGCTCACTTGTTTCTACGGGGTGAGCATGATATGCTCACTTGTTTGCGCGGGAAATGTATGATATGATCACTTGTGTGCGCGGAAAATGCATGATATGCCTACTTGTTTGCTCGGGAAATGTATGATATGATCACTTGTGTGCGCGGAAAATGTATGATATGCCTACTTGTTTGCTCGGGAAATGTATGATATGCTCACTTGTTTGCGCCCGGGTCACCCACGTTTCTTATATGGTTGATAAGGACTTGCTTTGACTTGCACATGTTAGAGCGGGAAATATGTAAGATCATTACTTTGGTTTCCATTTGGGTTTTGTGTGTTTGTTTGCAGGGGGCAAAGTATCTCGTACTGCTAGAGGAAGACTTGGATATAGCTCCAGACTTCTTCAGGTGATTTTTTTGCATTGACTGAAAAGTGAGGATTAAGTGGAGAAAGAGAGAGAGAGAGAGAGAGAGGGGAGGGAGAGAGATTGAAAGAGAACGGGTGTGAGAGAGAACGCAAATGGAAGAAAAAAGATATAAAGAGAAACAGAGAGAGAGAGGGAGAGAGAGAGAGAGAGGGAGAGAGAGAGACTGCGAGAGAAAGAAGATAAAGGAGAAACAGGGCCAGCTGGGGGGCAGTAGCATAAGACACTTTCTTCGCTTTATTTTTGTCCAATTCCTTTGAAGGAATGAAATCTCCCAAGAGGGGATTGAGAGCAGTTGCAACAAATACCGTCTCTTGAGCCCTCAGAATAGTTAAAGAATACGCAATGTGTTCCAAACACATCCTCCGGCAATGTTCGAATAAAAAGCGCACACTTCTCAACGGCATCTAATTCGATTTTAATCCGTTTTTCATCCGATGTTAAATCCGTCGTTCTCCGATGAAAGCCACGAGTGTTTGTCGGACGTGCGTGGCTTGTTGTTATTCTAGTCCATCTTGCATACTCCCTTCCATCTTACTTGCGTACTCGTCGGCTGCTAAAAACATTTACAGTTTTTTTTCCCATTACCGACGCAACGTCTGCTCTCTCGTTGCAGCTATTTCAACCAGACTGCTCACTTGTTAGAGGAAGATCCGTCGCTTTACTGCATCTCCGCCTGGAATGACCACGTAGGTGGCGCTGCTGTCGCGCACGCTTTACGCACTGCTAATTCGTGTGAGAATTCCGCGCTCGCTGTCTGATGGAGTGACAAGCTAAACTATGCCGCCAGGGCTAACACGCTCCACACCCGCGTTTAAATACTACTCTCTCTCTCTCTCTCTCTCTCTCTCTCTCTCTCGCTCTCTCTCTGTCTTTCTCTCTCTCTCTCTCTCTCTCTCTCTCTCT